TTTTAGGGGGAGGGTTAGACGAGTTCTCATTAATTTTTCATAAACATTTACAATCAAAAGGTGTTCTGTTCCATGACAGTAGTGGGAAAAAAAAAAAAAAATAAAATAAAAAAAATAAAAATAATAATAATAATGATAGGGGGCTTTGCATTATTATGGAAATGCCTTTATGGATAGAAGTAGCTGAATATGAACTAATTCTACCTTTCGTAGGTGTAGCTCCAAGTCTTTTCACTTGTATATGGATATATGATAAAATAGTTTTTCGATTTCTTTCATAGCCTGGTTGTTCAACAAATAACGCAAAAGTGACCTCATTTTATGACCGCATTTAAACATTGTCATCAGGAGTATTTAGATTTAGGAGGGTCATAGCTATTTTTTTCACATGAAACAAATATGAATAAACTTAGGGTAAATATGATGGCAAGATACCCCCCCCCCCCATTGGGAAGAGGGTTCATATCAAGCTTAGTGGAGCATCTTCAAAGATAAAAGCAGCTAAAGATATAAACAGCAGATAGATGTAGCATGGTTTGGACAGATTCTTGAGAAATCATTAGGAAAAAATTTCTTCAAACTTTTATTCTTGGACATAATTGAAACTTTGATTTTCCATGATATATCGATGTTTTAATGTTATGCAGTATGGTTGCCTATTTGGCCTGTATTGCGAGCCCCAATAGCAAATTATTGATTTAGGAACAGTTGATATATTTACAAACTGGATATCCCAATTTTTAATGTCATAGGAAAGTAGGGATTTTTTTTTTTCTTTTTTTCTTTATCTTTTCCCTCTCCCTCTCCCTCTCATCTTGCAAAAAAAAAAAAAAAAAAAAGAGAAGAATTAGGAAATATGAATATTGGGACATAGGGTAAAGTTTGTTATATTTATCATAGTTTGTACTTCGTGACTTTGCAGAGATCTTTGCGACACAGGAAGTGAATCGTATTCTTACAAAATAAGGAGGCCCTCCATATTTTGCAATATTTTCATGCAAGTAGCCTTATAGCTTGTGGTCTTTCTCTTGTTTTTTTACAAATAATATTTTGAGAGTCAATTAGAAGATAGATTCCGGAGAAGATAGACAAAGAAATAATACTTTACTTTGTAGTATGGGATGTTGGTTAACAGAGAACAGTTTACATTGACTTCAGTGTTTAAAGAGCTAATTAAAGACATTAGTTTATAGGCTTTGTTGACAGACTTTCCTGAAGTAATATTTATCTATTTATGGTCAATTATAGAAGTATTACTATTACATGGTTTTTTGTTTATACTTGAGACCCCTTTTTCCTGTTATATATATTCATATATTGTCTGTATATAGATATTTATGTAAGAAAAAAGTATTGTCACATTTTCAGCATTTTGTCATACATTCAAGAATACAATGTTTTTTTTTTTTTTTTTAATTAGGAAAGACTAGGTAATGGAAGTTTGTAATGCAAAAGATTTAGTTCTGTGGCTGGCAAGGGCCATTTCACACAGCCTTTATTTATTTATGTTGGTACTTAGTGATTGCTAGATATTCTACTGTAGGAAGATCGGAATTCCCTAGAAAGGTAGTGTGCATTTGCCTTTGATCTTATGGAGGTTTACCAATACAAAAATGTTGCAACCCTTGATATAGGAAGTATTAACTGTAGTAAGATTGAACCATATTCATGTTGGTAAATGTAGAAAGAAAGCTTCACAATACAACAGACGTATTTGAACATTGGCAGTATGGCTGAATGATGTAAGCGACTGATATCAACAGGAAGCATGAGTCCCAATGTATATTATTTATAAATGCATGATATTTATAAACCAAGTATTTATCTGTTAAATCAGTGGGATTCTATTATCTGCCGTGAATTCTTCTATAGGTGCCTGCACTGCTATAGGAGTAAGGTATTCTGTTACTTATCTAAGAAAATAAATACAATGATATTAAGGAAACTCGAAATATGAAAAGGAATGATAGGGTTGTGAAAGATACTTGACCTTGCTTGTTGATTTGGCCCTCTGGAAGGATATCCGTAATCAGTAGAATATACGTGTGTGGCGGGTGGGGGGGATTATTATTATTATTTTTTTCTAATTGATAAGAACACAATTTCTTTAACATTACTCCTCAATATATCATAGTTGGTGCTTCATAATGTCTTGTAACCATAAAGTGCAGCACAGTTGAGGGCTGCACGTACACACTGGACAGGAAATCTCTGTTTAGTCATTTTTGATTCAAAATTGTTTCAGTGGATAATGAAGTTGTTGTTGATCTCAAGACTTGGAAATACTTGAATTTATATTTACACTTTGTTTACTTTACATATTTTACTCATTTACTTCATATCCAGTAAAGCATTTATAAAAGGATAACACCGAACAAAGTCCCATCGATATAATGAAAGCACAACAACAGAGGCTGTTGTGCACTGAAACAAAGAGAACTCCCTCAGTGTCCTTTTTCCTGTAATGGAAGTATTCAATTTCCTGTGTTGTAGATTTGTTAAGGCACCAATTGTATCACCAACATATAAAAGCCATACCCTTTGTAATTTAATAATACTGTTGTTACTTGAAGTCTTATTGTGTTTTCTGTTTGTTATTTCGTGTCTGTTTTTCTTTTTTCATTTTCATGATCTGTTTGTGCTTGGTATTTCTATATAGTAAAAGAGGAGCAGATTAATGCATAGATAGCTAAGAGAACTTTTCAATGATTTTAAAGGTTATTAGAAAGAGTGCATACAAGCATGTTAATGTGTAATTCATGTGTTGTTAAGTTGTATGAATAATTTTTTCTTGAGTGCTTATCTATTGGTTGGCTTTTTTTAAATGATTATGAACTACATCAGTATAGTACTTAACCTTTGGTAAAGATGGCATAGTCGGAATCTTGCAAGTTTATTATATTCTTTTGCATGAGAGAGATGCTGAGTTTTACACTAGTATTGTGTCTGTCAAGTGCTTGGTACTTGTAGGTATTTGTAAAATGATCTGAATTACCCATGGAAATGATTATAAGATAGTTATTGTTGAAAGTTGCAATTGATAACGCACAAGGATGGTATACTCCTAGAGATTTTTTTTTACCCTTTTTCATTCATTTTCTTCTTCATTCTTCCTTCCTTCCTTCCTTCCTTCCTTCCTTCCTTCCTTCCTAAAGTTTATTTTACTTACATTAAGGTATTTCATTTGATAAGCAAATTTCGTAATTATTTTTGTTGTAAAGTTAGCCTCGCTTCTTTATCCCCCAGATCGTCCTCTCCCCATTTTCCATTTTTCATTTTCCACCTACTCCCTTTAACCTTTATAATCTCCCTCTCCTGTTTTCCTTTTTAATCTGCCTCTCCCTTTATTCCTTTGCTATCTCCCTCACTGTTTTCCTTTTTGTTTTCTACCCCATCCCTCTCTTTTTTCCCTCTCCCTTCCCTCTTCCTCTCTCCTCCCTTCCCCTTTCTCCTCCCTCCCCTTTCCCTTTCTCTCCCTCCCCCTTCCCCCTCCCCCCTTCCCCTCCCCTTTCTCCCCCTCCCTTCCCTTTCTCCTCCTCTCCCCCATTCTCCCTCTCCCCTTCCTCCCCCCTTCCCCTTCCCCCCTTTCTCCTCCTCCCCTTCCCCCTTTCTCCCTCCTCCCCTTCCCCTTTTCCCTCCCTCCCCTTTCCTTTCGCTCCCTCTCCCCTTTTCCTCCTCCCCCCTCCCTTTCTCTCCCTCCCCCTTCCCATCTCCTCTCTCCGCCCCTTCCCATCTCCCTTCCTCCTCCCTTCCCCCTCTCCCCTCTCTCCCCTTCCCCCCATCTCCTCCCTCTCCTTCCCCATCTCCTCCCTCTCTCTTCCCATCTCCCTCCCTCTCTCCTCCCCCATTACTCCTCCCTCTCTCCCCCTTCCCTCCCATCTCCTCCTCTCTCCCCTTCTCTCCCCATTCCTCCCTCTCTCCCCCCCTTTCCGCACCCCCTTCTCCTCTCTCGCGTCCCCTTCCGGCCTTCTCCTCCTTCTCCCCTGATCCGTCCATCTCGCTCCGCTCTATCACGGGCCCCTGGGTCTGCATCCTCATCTTTCCCCCCTTCCGAGCACCCCTGCCGTGCGCCTCGTCTGGTCCCCTTCCCTTCTCCTCCTCTCTTCGGCCCCTCCGGTCTCTGAGCCTCTCTCGTGCTCTGCTTCCCCTTCCCCTTCCACCTCCTCCTCCCTTCCCCTTCTCCCTCCTCCTCTCCCCTTACCCCCCCGCTTCTCTCCCTCATCCTTCCCCCTTCCCTTCTCCTCTCCTCTCTTCCCTTCCTCCCTTCTCCTCCCATCTCTCGCCTTCCCCCTTCTCGCCTCCCTCTTCCCTTCCCCTTTCTTCTCTCTCCTCTAGGTTCAGCCCACTTACCCACCTTCTTCCTCCCAGTCTCTCGCCAAGACCCCTTCCGCCTCTTTCTCCCTCCCTCACTGCACCCTTCCACCCTTTGCCTCCTCGTCTCCCTTGCCCCCATTCTCCCTCCCACTCTCTCCCGCTTTCCCTCTTTCTCCCTCCTCTCTCCCCCTTCCCACCTTACGCCATCCTCTACTCCCCCTTCTTCTCCCCTCTCTCCCTTCCCCTTCCCCTCCCTCCTCCCTTACCCCTTCCCTCTCTCCCTCCCTTCTCCCTCCTCTCCCCGCCCGCCCTTCTTCTTCCCCTTCTTCTCCCCCCCTCCCTCCTCTCTCCCCTTCCCCTTCCCTCCTCTCCCCCCTCCTCTCTCTCCCCCTTCCCCCCCTCCTCTCTCCCCCTCTTCCCCCTCCCTCCCCCTTCTCCCCCCTTCCCCCTTCCCCTCCCTCTCCTCTCCTTCCCTTCTCTCTCCCTTCTCCCCTCTCCCCCTTCCCCTTCTCCCTCCCTCTCCCCCTTCCCCCTTCTCTCTCCCCTCCCCTCCCTATTTTAACCTTTGTAGCAATGTTTTTGGGTGTATGCATGTATTTGCTAACTGGTACATGACAGGTCCAGTGGGTTTCATAAAAAAAAATTAAAACTTGCGTAACTAATAGAATTGGTTTCTCCTCTTGCAGTAGACGAGGAGATGAGGAGGAGGAAGAAGGAAGTCAGCCCAGTGCTGTGAACAACGGGTCTTTAACCTCCGATGAGGCCATGGAGGAGGAGGAGAGCACGGAGGCTGCACAGCCCACCCCAGCCGAAGAAGCTCCGGGTGAAAACAGCAACTCAAATGCTGTCATGGATCTCTCTGGAAATGTTCCAGCTTCCAACAAGAGACTCAGGGAGGGTGAGTCTTGACATTATTATCATTACTCTGCTGGTGGCGGTGGTGGGAGAACCTACTTTGTATCTGAAGTTGATTACCACCAGTATGGTTTATTTTATCGTGTAAAGAAAAAAAAAAGGAAGAAAAGAAAAATTTGTCACTCGTCAGAAGGCATAATTGGAATAGGTTTAAGAAGATTTCACCGATGTTGCATCACTTCAACATTTGCTGTGGTGTCATAGATATGAATATGTTGTTTTATATAGGAGAATTTAGTTGTGCATGGAATATTTTTCTTTCATTGCCATGTCATATGTTCATAAATTACAAAACTCCAGCCAAATGATTAATTGAGGCATAAGTAAATTGGTCTTGATAATTTTCATTTAATCATAAACAAAGCGGTCTCGATATTAGTAATAACCAAAGGAAAAAATCATATATATATATATATATATATATATATATATATATATATATATATTTTTACTTTATTGCTTTTTTACTTGTTTGTGAATGTCAGAATATGTTTGCATGATAAAGGTTAGGGCACATCACCTACATGGAGCTCATGAGACAACTCTTATTGGTAACTGTCTGTTAGCATTTCTGCATTCCTTTCTTTGACAACTGTTTCCTCTGTCCTGACTCGATGTTTGTTGTGGTAGGTGAGGAAGATTCTGAAGTGTCAGGTGAATGTGAGGCTCCGCCCACATCCCGGCCAAGGCTCACAGAGGCTTCAGAAACAAACAACACTGCCAACCACATCAACGACAACCACCAACCAGCGATAGACCTTACCGATGATGCTCCAAAGGTGAATGGAATCAGTAACGGCTATGAGAGTGACAGCAATGGTGTCAATGAAGATGACGAGATGCCCCCTGTGCCGCCCATCAAGGAGCTGAGCCCAGAGGAGCTGGCAGAAAAGATGAAGCTGGTGCGTCGACTGCAGGTAGAGCTTCGCAATGAGGAGATGAAGCTGGTACTCCTCAAGAAGGTCAGGCAGTCCCAGGTGAGGCCTGCAGCCACAGCTAGTAGGGTTTTGATTTTGGGGGGAGTCATATTTCAAAACTTTTAGAACACAAGTCAATCAAGGTTTAGTCTGAGACTGGTGTCGCACTCTGGATCTTGGGGAAGGTATCAGTATTCTGAAGCCCTCATAATGTTGCATGGTTAGAGTTGACTAACCTGTGCTCATGGGGTATCTCGACTCTAGCAGGAATGTTGTGAGGGAGTCACTACTGGTTGAATGTACACTGGACTCATATTTTGCATCAACACTCCTCTTTCCACTTGATCTGCAGAAGTGTTAAGAGGAGGAATGATGGACTTTTTGTGTCCTGCAGTGAAGATCTCCCATAGAGTGTGCGACCAATCTCTGACTTCAGCTGAGTTGCGTTCTAAGATAAGGCCAACAAATTTAATTTTTTTGCCGTTTGATATCATGCAGGTAATTAAGGGAGTCACCCATTTTGTTGAGGCGCAGGCGCAGGTCACATAGGAAGCTGCTAGACTTGACCGTGGTTCTTGTAGCCAGTTAACTTTTGGAGTTAGTCGTTTAAGACGAAAAAAAAAAGGTTGAAAGTGGAATGGGGATCCCATGGTTGATTTGAATGCAACTATTTCTCACAATACTAACTTCAGAGAGACTTTATGATCATCAGTATTTCCTCATATCAAGTTCGGCATTTCTCTTTTGCTCGCTCTCTCTTTGACTCACGTCATGCCAATAAGACCTTACCCTCAATACTTGGGTCTTCTCAGTTTTCCTCGAACGGTGTTAGTAGTTCTCTAATTCAAAACAGGAAATTGGTATTGCCTTTAATTTCCTTGTAAAGAATAGATATCAATTTCTATAACCTTGTTAGAGTAGTGATTCATATATACATAAATGTAAACATTCATATATGTAGAATACAAATATAAGTACCCCTACCCACTTGATTATTTAGAGTCAAGTGATCCATATA